CATGAGGCAAATATTTCTTGTTCCATTTGGATTGATATACAATTCTTTTCAGAGAGGGTATATTCCATTTTACTTGCTGAATGGGCAAGTAAACTCGCACTAACCTTGAGACAATGGGAGTATCCGTGATCATTTAAACCCCTTTGGAAACTCTTACACAACCGATGAAGGACGAATGTAGCATGCTCTAACATCCACATTGGAATCCTAGTAACCTAGTTGAAAATAACCTATCGTATCCACTAGCTATAGTTAACTTTTCAACATCAACTGTCTACTTTCATTTCCGTTTTGCAAAATAGTTAGATGGAATTTCATATATTGATGTAATTATGTAGTGTTCTCTGGATGCATATCGATCCTTATATCAATTAATCAATTCAAGCTTATTTTTTTATCAGGTTGCACCAGCAGAGCTTGAAGGTCTACTTGTTTCTCATCCTGAAATATTAGATGCTGTTGTTATCCCGTAAGTCTTGCTTTAGTAAATTTTGAAGCTATCTTATTCGAACATCACATGCTACTGGTTATTTATCCAACGAAAAATGTCATGTGATACTGTACTGTTACCCAAAAAGATGATACGTCAAAATACGAAGTTAAGAGTTTCCTTGTAGGTTTCCTGATGCTGAAGCTGGTGAGGTTCCGGTTGCATATGTTGTTCGCTCTCCTAATAGCTCTCTGACTGAAGAAAATGTTCAGAAGTTCATTGCGGATCAGGTATATGCTTGTGAAACAATGACATCTCTTTAGATATACATAAGATGCTTGCATGACTAGCTTAGATAATCTCTCTATATTAGCTAAAAAGAAAACATACCTAATAAATCGGGGTTCTTGATAAGATATAGAACTAAACAAACAACATAAATGTCACTTGGATCATCTCAACACCATCATAACTGTCTCAAAGTATGCGATTTGGCTGGTGTTAGGCATGGACCCTCTTCAGACTTATCTGCCGGGATGTGTTTTACCGAATTATACATGCTAAAACAGTTACAACAAGTACGTCTCAATCCAAATGAATCCTTATTATCCATATCGCTCTTTTTAGACTTTTGTCTTGATCCGCCATCATGGTTGCCTAGGTGAGCAGCCTAGGAGCACATACCAAACATATTTCTGTACTTTGAGGATTAATCAAGAATTGACTAGTTTTACATTAACCGTTAACCTACCAAAAATTCCTCCATTATATCTAGGCTTGAGACCGACAATATGCTTAATATTTTGTTGGAGCTGCAGTGGGAAGTTGGGTTGGCTCGGGAGGTGGAAATCTTGAAATATAAGTCGTTACAGCTTACTCCGAATGAATGTATGTTTTGTCGATTTCAAGATCTTATTTTCATTTTTCGATCCATATCTATGCAGGTTGCACCTTTCAAAAGATTGAAGAAGGTAACATTCATAAACAGTGTTCCCAAGTCAGCTGCTGGGAAAATCCTAAGAAGAGAACTAATCGATAAGGTTCGTTCAAAAATATAAGATTTGTACCCGATACCTGTGCTGGTGGGAGCTAGCAAGTATCTGCAAATTTAGTCAAGGTGCACACAAACTGGCCCAAACACCAAGGTTATATTATAAAATAAGTAATGGTAAGATTTGCATAGTTTGCTCATTAGATGTTAAAAGCACATCCATCTACTGTATTTTTTCCAAATTGTAACAGAATTGTATGAATAATGTGAATGTGAAATTACAAGTGATTTGCATAATAAAAGATACACAGCTTGGAACGTACTTATCCATCTCACCACAATTCTTGGTGTTTTTTTCTTCTTCTTTTGTATTGATTGATACGAAATATAATGTATTGTTAAAAGGTAATATATTACCAAAGTATTAGCCTTTGATCTACACGGATCAGGGGTTTAGCTAACGCGTGAAACGCTGCTCCTGAGAAGTATCATTGCAAGATCGAAACTCAAAAGGAATTTATGAGGCCATCGCAAGCCGTGGAGCATGTGATTTAACTCAGTATATCAAAATTTAAAATATACAAAATTATACCAGTATTTGACATTTAAATAAGTAACTAATACGAGGCATATTATAAGTAAAAAAAATAATCATGGACAATTTATTTTGACATTGTCATTTAATATGTATCAACCTTTTTTAATTTTAGTACATATTCCAACATTTACTTGTGATGTTAGAAGTTAGGTTTTGATAATATGAAACTTCAAATACAATGTACATATGAAGTTACAGGCTAAAATGTAATCATTTTTGCCAAAAGTTTAGATAAAATTGATCGGACTTCAGTAATTTTTGCCATATTTCAGCTATTATGTTCGAAGTTCATGCACATATGGCTAAAGTCACAAAATGACAAAACTTTAGCCATATATGTATCTAAACTTTAGCTATATGCAAACTTCATATACACTATCTGAAATTGCCCCAAAGTAAATACACATACAAAATTTTAAAAACACTTTAACACAAATAAAATAACAACATCAGAATCAGATATCTGTGCTCTAAAATTGAAAGCTCCTAACTTTTTTAGATCAACTCTTAGAGCATATAACTTGAGGCCAAAAAAACATATATAGAGAATAGAAAGGAAAATAAAAGTAACAAATCAAAAGATATATAACCACATAAAAAAGAGAAGATTATTATACACAATCACACAACACATCGAACAGTAAGTAAGCTCAAGCACTAAAATAAAAGAGTATGATGCGATTATATAGAATGCAATAAAAATAAAGCGAAAGTAATTAACAAGGAGTTGATATCTCAAAAGGTCACTCAACTTTAACAATTTATCTAGTAAAGTCATTCAACTTTATTTATATAAATAAAATCACTCAATTTAGGTCTTTGTATCAATAAAATCATTCAACTAAATTTATCATTAAAAATATATAAGGTTTTTAGAACTTATGATCTTCCAACTGGATTTGAATGAATATTAATTATCCAAAGTAATATAGTTAAATGATTTTTTATCCAACATATATAGTTAAATGATTTTTTTGATACAAAAGCTTAAGTTGAGTGATTTTATTGATACAAAACAAAGTTTAATGACTTTGTTAGATAAATTGTAAAAATTGAATGACCTTTGAGATATTAACTCAATTAACAAGTTATCTACTTCCAATTCTAAATCAGTTATGTACAAATATTTTTTATATTATCTTTTTTTTTTGGTAAGTAAGCATTTTATTACCAAAGAGAAGCTTACAACTCAAAAAAAAAAAAAAAAAAACTATTCCGACTAGATCGAACCCAACTAATAACTTTTCATCCCCTAATCATCTATCTACTACTTTAGCTTGGATAGTAGTTCAATATCGTCAAGTATTTAGTTAATTTCACTTTGAGACAGCCTCTGAAATATACGTCTTGAATTATTCTCTTCACAAGGTCCGATATTTCTCTTCTTTTGCCTTGAAAAACAATTTGGTTCCTCTCTTGCCACATATAATAGATGCAGCCTGTTAAGGCCATTCTATAAATCAAGAAAAACATATACAATGATCATTAAATTCTTCTCACATTGAAATAACCTTGTTACTGATCATTGACATAACAAATAAGTACTCTTACTTTTTTTTTTTTTTATGTGACACGATTTTTCTATTAAAAATAAGATAATATTTTTATATTTGAAAATATCTAATTATAAAATTTACATTCTATCCTTATTAAAAAGTTTTTATAAACTAAAAATTTTCAAAACCATTTTTATCAAACTTCAAATTTTATATTGAATTAAATTCTGTTACATAAATTGAAATCGGGAATATAAAGGTCTCATTGAGTCGTCCTTTAGCTGCTTTTATAAAAGTCCCTTGTGTATGTAAAAATAAGGTCCCAAAAAACTAGTAGTATATATTATTTAAATTTTTTCAAAATTTTATACAATCAGGTCATTTAGATATAGTAATTACAAGTGGAAAATCTAGAAAATAAGACAAACAACGTAATATGTATGTATAAAAGATTAAATAACATTTGTACATAGTACTCTTTCTGTTTTGAAATACTTCTCATGTTATTGATTTCAAGAGTCAATTGAACCAATCTTTAAATCAAATTAATTTAATATTTTAAACTATAGGAGAAATACTATAAAGTTGAAATTATTTTCATATCATCATGGTGAAAAATCGCATCTTAAAATATTAATAAAGAATTAGAAAATTTGACTCTTGAGAAATGAAACGTGATAAGTATTTTAAGACGCATGGAGTATTTATAAAACAAGAAAGAAAATATGGTGCAGTATATATAGCTTGACTAGGTAAAAGGGAGACCTCATTTCGTCATTCATATCAACTAGTTTTAACTTTGCTTTGGCTATTCATTATGACATTTCATTTTCGTCTTTATCATTTGATTTTTGATATCTAAGAGTTAATTTTGCAAAAGAAGTACTATAACAAGCTATTTGTAATTAATAAAAAGTAACCACCTAATTTTGTACCCCTCAATCTTGAATTCTCTGGCATTAAAGTCTTTATAAAACATTAAATCTTCTAAAGATGTCCGAAAGACTTAATATTCAACTTCTCGTATTATTTAGATCGAAATATATTGATTTAAGCCACACATTAATTGATTATCTAAAGATGTCTGAATGACCTCATATTCAACTAAAAGTAATTACTATGCCCTTTTCTGACAAACAATATAGTGTTATAATTTCATCCACTAAAAAAGTTATTAAAAGAGAGTAACAACTAAAATAGAACAACTATTTATATTTTTTTATAATGGGAAAGTGGCCGGAATGGAGATGGATATTAATGAAAGTCAAATTACTCTGGCCAACAAAGTGAAAGTAGAGATAATCAATCGGACTATAAAAATTTCCCAAAACACAACTAATTCATCTCATCTTTAAAATTGAATGATTAAATGCCATTCTTTAGTTAATTAACATTAAAAATAATTAACCATTATACTATAAGAACAAGAAAATTTCCTTCGAATTCCAAATTTCATATTATGGTAAAAGAAAAGATTAATTACCTCATTGGTGCTCCTATCTTTCCAGCTGCCAATATAGTTCAGTAGATCGAACTCAGTAACCTTGGTCTAAATTTTGTATTTTTACATTAAGAAATTCATTGAAATTCTAACTTCGTCCTTGCTAATCAAGTATCTTTAAAACATATGAAAAATAAACGATAAAAGTAAAGTTAATTAGAACAACCCAAAAGAAAAGCAAATCAATCAATTAAATATGCATTTTATAAATAAAGGATAATAAATTAAACTTTTTAGGGTTTAGAGGTTCTCTAATAAAGCCCTAAAAGACTTTATATACGTAGATCTTCAAATAACATTCACAAATAATATCTATACTATGCTTAATTAAATTCAAGAATATAAAAGGAGTTTCTTACCTTTGCTTTATAATCTCCAATAATAAGATACCATGAAAATCAAATCTTTAATATTAGCTGGCTCCTGAAACTAAAGAACTCAATATATAATATACTTATACAATACATATAAGTTTCATTCTCGATATCACAAACTCTTTTCTTACCTCTTTCATGGGACGGTTCATTTTGGTTCTATCGACAAATCCCCTATATATTATTATTATATAAAAGAAGCATCTTGAGACTTCTTTTTTTCTTTTCAAAATGCTATATTCACCTGCACTTGAGCCTGCACCTCCTTCTTTTCAATCTTTTGTCACATAGGAGGTTAGTAAATATTATTTATTTATTATATATATGATATTGTACTTACATGTCTTTATCATAATGGACCCTTATTTTCTCTTTTTAATTCTTTTTTCCTATAACCAAGGAAAGGAGAAAGGGAAAGGGAAAGGCATGGATAGTGAAAAATAGAGTATATTGTTCAATTTTTTCAAAAAATGTCATTAGGTATGTGTTGGATAATTGATCAAAAGTAATATATTTTTCAGATCTGACACGAGTTTGACATAATCGAACAGAAGATGAATAGTGAGTAGAAATTCATGGCTATTTGTAAAAAATTTAACATATCCGAGTCAAATAACAATTATTTAAAGCACTTTTATTTAAAACTATTTTGGAAACCTAAGCACTTAATCATATGGATATGTAAAAATACACTATTTTCAATTCTAACAAGATAAGGAGGAAAAGGGTTATTCAATTTAAAGTAAGTAAACAGAATTCCAAGAAATGTCATTAGGTATGTGTTGGATAATTCATTAAAAATAATGTATTTTTCAGATTCTACACGAGTTTGATAATATTGTTTGAGGATCCGATCTACATATATATCGAATCGAAAAAAAAGATGAATAGTGAGTAGAAATCCATGGTTGTAAGGAAAAAATAAAAATTTAACAGATCTGAGTCAAATAACAATGATTCGAAGTACTTTTGTTTTACACTATTTAGGAAACCTAAGCACATAATCATATGGATATGTAAAATACATGATTTTCAATTCTAACATGATATAGAGGGAAACATATACTCAATTTAAAGTAATTAAGTAAACAAAATTTCATACTCAATCTCATAGGTGCATATAAAATTCTGCAAAAAGTTGTATACTACTTGAGAAACCTAAGCACTTGATCATAAGGATATGTAAAATACACGATTTCCAATTCTAACATAATATAGAGAAAAACGACGACTCAATTTAAAGTAAGTAAACAGAATTTCATACTCGATCTCATAAGTGCAAATAAAATTCTGCAGAAAATCATATTTGGTGAAAGTTGTATGTACGACTTGGAGAGATAATCTTTTATATCTTTCGATATCCACCCTACAACTTGAGTTTAAAAAATACAAATACATTCAATGATTTTTAAAAATCTAAGTATAGAGAAGAGAGATGTAAGGAGGTGCAGGTGCAAATGCAGAAAAAGGCAACATTTTGGTTTCTTGGTTATTACTAGTATGCATTCTTTTGCATCTTTTATATACAAACAAAAGCCAGTATGATTTTTCCTGTCTATTTCACAGTTCATTTCCAGTTGTCTTTTCAAATATAGCAAGTGTACACACTAAAACTTTTCCAAAAATATCTGAGGAATAAACATTTTTTCCAAAAATATCTAAGGACTTGGCCCTAGATCATAAGAAAGTTTAGAGATAGAAGATTAGGATAGATAATTAGTAGGTAGTTAAGCGATTTATCTCTACCTAGTGATAGAGATTGGTTCTAAGACAATATATGATAGAAGACAAATTTAAGTCAGTTTTCATACGTTAGGAATATATCTTACCCTAAACTCCATTAATTATTCATGACCAAAGGTATCACACATGTGATAAAAGGTTATCCAAAAGTAGGGAATTAGGTCAAGGATAATAATATGTGTGAGAAAAAAAATACAAGTGAAGGACATTATGTGCTGGAGAGCAATTACTACTACTACTATTTACAATATCTAAAAAAAAAAAAAACACAAAAAAGAAAAGCAGTTTTTAAGGGAAAAGGGTCTAAATATATCCAAAATTATCGTAACAATTCTAAATTTTGGGTAGGACCTATTACCGTTTGCACTATTTAATAGTATATTTTAAAGATATATAGGTGTTCACGTGGATATCATAAATATTGCATCATTATAAATAGTAATTTATTCAGCTGAACACTTATATATTTTTAAAATACACTATTAAATAGTACAAGGGTATAGATCCTGCCTAAAATTTGAAATTATTACAGCGATTTCGATTAAAATTCGAATATATTTCATACTTTTTGATTTTTAATAATGTTTGTAAAAATGGGAAGTACTATTTGTCATTTTCTCTTTATCTTCATGGTCCAACAAGTACCATAAGTGCCATGTGATATATACCATGTCCTCCACGTGGTATTTTCTTCTTCAACTAACCACATCTCGACACGTGGTGCAATTTACTGTCTTCCCTCATGGCATATTAATCATGTCCTTTTCTTCCTGACTTCTGTTTTTTTTTTGATAGTTGGATAAGAAATAAGTGATGTATAATATATATGATGTTGATAGTAAACAAGTTACTCCCTTTATTTCAATATATGTGATTTACTTTTCTTTTTAGTCACTCCAAAAAAAAATGACATATTTCTATATTAAGTAACAATTTCACTATAAAATGTCTATTTTATCTTTAATGAAATGATTTACAGCCACACAAATTTCTATAATTCATTTTGGATCACAAGTTTTAAAAGTCTTCCTTTCTTTCTTAAACTTCGTGCCGAGTCAAACTACCTCACATAAAATGAGACGGAGGGAGTATTTATGTATAATAATAATCTGACGCTTGATTGTCAATAGAGACGGAGCTAAGTGAGGATTAGTAGGTTCAAATGAACCAATAGCTCTTTCATAGACATTGTCTTTATATTAAAAAATTGAGGATATATATATATATTAACTTGTGAACCTCCTAACAAAATTAATTGATAACTTAGTGGTAAGGAAGAGGCCATAGAAATGTTTTCTACACTAATATCCTGGGTTCGAAAATATTTTTTTGTTCGTACTAAAATTTAGAACTCTCAAACTCCTAATTCTCGCTCCGCCTCTGATTGTCAAACTAAAAACCCGTATAAGTAATATAATATGTATGAGTTATGAGTGAATTTATGTATTATTTTATACAAAATAGAAGGTGGAATAACTAATACATGTACTTCAATCTAACATAAAATAATATATAGATTTACTCATAACTAACCTCTATATCTATATTACTAATGAATGCATAGTTCTAACTAGCTACCAAACAACCCCAAAAGATAGAGGGTAAGTTACACTTGCGCATTTGGGTGGTTGGTCAAAATTTTATTTCTTTTCATTTTACTTAATTATTTTAGACTTTGCACGTTTTTTAAAAAAAATAATGATTAATATTAATATATTACCATATTACTTGTATTAATTGATGTATAATTTTTAATTTTGACAAATAATTTGAAAAATAAATAATTAATATTGAGGATAAAACAAGAAATTTCTTTGTCTTTTTTCGATATATTAAAAGTGACACGCATTAGTGTTATAAATTTTACCTTTACTTTCTTCAATCTTCGCTAGAGAAGTTATAATAAATGTATTATTATTGTTGTTGTTAGTATTACAAACTGTTTTTTGTACTCGATACACTTGAATCGAGAGTCTTTCGAAAATAATCTCTTTAGTTCCACAAGATAGTAATAAGATCTGCATAAATTATACTTTCGTGAGTCCTTACTTGTGAAATTTCACTGAATATATTATTGCATATATTATATTTTTGTCAGACCTAACTTGTGATATTTTACTGAATATTTATTGTTGTTAGTATTTACTAATTTTAAAACTTAAATTTGAATTTTATCTCAACTTGTATGTATTATTTTCAAAGAGATAAGAGTACATATTCTCTAAGGAAAGAGAAAAAAAAAAGTGTGTGTGATGCTAAAAGCCCCAACTAGGACATTGGTAGATTTTCGACATGTCCTTTTTATGACTTTGATTCTAAATTGGTTCCTCAATATTCACACTCTCCGCGTACTATACCTCGTACCTGATAGAAACTACAATAACTAGAAACATACCTAGTGGTAATCTCACGATCGAGTCCGAAGAAAATAGATTTTATGTAATTTTTTACTTTTTTATATAATTGAAAACGGAGCTAAGGAAGCTGTTTCTAAAAAGATATATGATTAAGGTAATACATGTCAAAGTATGTATGTGCTAGAAACTATGTATTTGTTATTAGGGTTTGTCCTGAATTTCCTTTCTTAATTTGATTCTATGCCATAATTGTTTTGTATTCAATATATATATATATATATATAATATGTGATATTTAGATTTCTTGAAATTTTATAAATAGAACAAATTTCTTCTCATAAAAACACAATAACAATAACAATTACAATGTAGTCGTCTAGAGAGTTACTAAACTAAATACATAAAAAAAATGCGTTAAAAATATTTTTTAAGTGGCCCTTCAGCACCAATGTGGGACAACTTACTTTCGATTATTTTAGGAGTCGTTTGATTCGTAGAATTAAGGATTATAATTGAATAATAAAATTGTTAGTTATTATATTTCATGTTTAGAGTATGTTCGGTGTGAAGAAAATTAATTACAGAAAAAGAAATGGTGATTTATTTATCTATTTATTTGTGCTCGATAGGCAAGTAAAAGTATTTATGTATAATTTAAACATATTCTATGGAAGTGAGAGTAGAAGTTGGAATGGTGGGGATGGACCATGGAGGCTCTAGGGATGGAGGCAGGGATGAAGATTAGATGTGTTAAAGTTAAAGAACACGATAAAATTAAAATATCACTTGTAGAACATTCTTTCCTATTTACACTAAAAATATCATTTTAAAAAAAAAAGAAACTCTAGAGAAAATATTTTACGAATCGAAAGAAAAAAAATATAATACCTAAATAAAGTTATAATGTCTTTTGGAGGTAAAAATTATAAAGGCATTTAGAAAGCTATAATTTGATAGTGATGTTAGCACTTCTCTTTTTTCTTTTGTTCAGTAAAGAAAGCGATACTTGAAGATTTTTTTGTTTATTGTTCTTGATATAAGGTTCACAATGTTGCACGTTTAGTCTTTTAAATTATTATTCTTGATATAAGGCTCACAACGTTGCACGTTTCGTTTTTTAAATGAGTTACAATAAAAAAGTCTAAAAAGTTCCCTTTAAAAGAGGGTATTTTTAATTTTTATTCTCTAACAATGGACGCATAAATATTTCAGAAACTGATATTGTGCACGGTCACAATTTGTGAAATATCATGAGAAGAAAATATAAGTTTATGCAAAAAAAAAGTTATTTATTACGAGAAATATAAATTAACGATCATCACAAAATAGAGATAGACGTACAAATGACCCCATAAATATGGGCCTAAATTCTGGCCTGGGGAATGTAAACTGAAGACCCAGTCCATACCTATATGGGCCTTTATTTAGTGGGCCTGAACTGAGGAAGGCACTTATTACCGGAAAAACTCGAGTAACATTAATCTATCTTAATTTTATGAATCGTTCTTAAAGTTTGAAATAATAAAATTTGAACTTCACAAATCGTTTTTAAAGTTTGAAACTCCCGGAAATTTTCACACTTCGATCATGAAAGTTAGTACTTTATGAATCGTTCACATGTTGAAGCTCTGAGCTTCAGTATTGTGTATTAGAATCGTTTTTTGTTTTAGTTATAGATATTTTTGTTCAAATTTAGACTCTATTATACAAAGATATTCAAAAAGAGATCAGGAAACAGAATGATAAGAATTGAGCTCACACCTATTACGTAATCGAAGACATTCACTAATATTATTAGACTATAATTTTTTGTACCGAGTGATTACTTTTGAATTACAGCATATCTATTATTTAAAAATAAGGTCTAACTTCTAAATTAAAAAAAAAAAAACAATAAAGTGGGTATTTGTATAAAATGACACAACCTTCATATGAATTTTGAAAAATAAATCCCACCTAATATTCTCTTTTCATCAAAACTTCTATATAAGGGATTTCCTAATATAAGGGTAAAACAATTTTTTTCTATTAAAAGCACCAAATCATGCACTTCCACTTTTACCCACAATTATTATTTACCTCTGAGTAAAGTTTTGATTTTAAATAGAAATTTTCTACCTAAACACACACACACACACACACACACAATATATATATATATATATATGGGGATTTTAAAACCAATTTTCCAACAAACTACACATATTTATTTTGTGCTGTGATATTTATTTATTTTTAAAAAATGAGTTCCAAACAGGAGGGAAAAAAGAAGAAAGAAGAAGAAAATGTTAAAGTTATTTTTCTTATAAATATGAATTGTGTCTGCAAGAATTGTTTCAAAAAAATTGCTAAATGCACTCAAAAATTGGAAGGTATATTATCAACACATATGATCTTTGAATTTCTTCATATATATTTTTCTTAGTTATTTCTGTATTAATTGCTTGGTATATTTTACTT